TTATGTAATAGTAATAAAGATAAATTCTGCACGCTTTTCAATTTTTGGTGTATATAGTACTAGCACGGAGCGCAGATATACGGAATACGGAACCTGTATATATACTAATATTCGTTCTTGTTGAATATAACCATCATTTGCAATCAATTTCTTGGTATATGGTGAAAACAAGTTTGAATTTCCACTGTTCAAAGTTTAATTAGAGATATTCCTTGCGCATAAATGTAACCTAAAATAAGTACGTTACACAAATGAAATGCCCGCCCACCATTCTTCGGTGCCATTTTAGTATTAGCAAACACAGCGATTATTTATATATTATAAATAATATAAATAAAACCCCTGCTCCATATCTGTTTTACGAATTAAGGTATAAACATTTTTAAAATTGTGATCTCTATTTTTGTCTTTAATAAAGTACTAAATATGGTTAAATGTTACACTAATGGATCCGATGAACCCATCAATGGATGATAGCCAACCCTGATCTTTTTCTTTCATTTCATAGTAGCTATTTTTAGACAAAAAAGATTGGCAACAATAGAAATATATTTCTTCAAAAAAAAAAAAAAAATGGCATCTTCACATTTAATGAATATCAATAATAATATCAATAATAATGAAATGGGTGGTGGTAATCATTTACAAGCATACAACCGAAAAAACGAAACCCCCGAGGATAAAAAAAATAGATTATTAGCTGAAAAAGCTGCTAAAAAACGTAGCGATTCCATTGATAAAATGTTAAAAGCCGAAAAAGAAAGATTAATCAAAACCAAAAGTGCAAAATTACTGCTGCTAGGTAAAACATATGATATTTAAATATGGATTTATATATGTGTGTATGTTATATATACTTACAAAATGTAATAATATCTCACGTAAATATATTTTATTTTAAAGGTTCTGCCGAAAGTGGCAAAACAACAGTTTTGAAACAATTAAAAATTATTCATGGAAAAGGTTTAGAGGAGGAACGTCAATCATATCGTAAGATAGTTCATTTGAATGTGCTTACTGCAATGAAACTATTGATAACTGGACTTCAATACTATGAATACGCTTTAAAACCAAAGAATGAACCACATCTTGAAAATTTTCTTAAATTGACTTCAATAAAAGATTCATTGAATCGTGATTCTATTAGTGTTCAGGCTGCTATCAAAGATCAGAAATTGGATGATAGTGCTTTGGACTCGTTTAGTGAATATATTGAATCTGTTAAAGAATTATGGGCTGATGACGCAATTAAAAAATGTTACGATCATGCTACTGAAATTGGTTTACAAGATTCTGCAAAATAGTAAGTGTATTTTTTTATGGGAAAGTTTTTATAATTAACACTTCATTCTCTTTATTCACATTTCATCATTCCACATTTCTATATTCTTATAGCTTTCTAGATAATGTTGATAGAATTTCCAAGGAAGATTATTTACCAACAGATGAAGACATATTACAAGCAAGAGTTAGAACAATGGGAGTGACAGAACATAAATTTGAAGTAAATAATCTAATATTCAGAATTTTTGACGTTGGTGGGCATCGGTCTCAACGACAATTCTGGGCTCCATACTTTGATGATGTAGATGCAATAATTTTTATAGCGGCAATATCAGCATATGATCAAACATTAGAAGAGGATAATGATGTTAATCGTGTGCAAGATTCAATTCAACTATTCGAAAAAATATGTAACCATAACTTATTTACAAATACTGGAATCATTTTATTCCTTAATAAAATCGATATTTTGAAACACAAACTTACAACAACACAAGTCAAAAAGTATTTTCCTGATTATGAAGGTAAAAATATTTTTAATGCTTTGATACTATATTATTCTGTATCATTTTGGCGAATTAATTAATGGAAACAATCATATTATTTAGGTGATAATGAATATGATAGTGTTACCGAATATTTTCAAAATTTATTTTTGGATTGTAATGAAAATGAGGATAAACATATTTATACTCATCTCACGCACGCTACAGTAAGTTAAATTCATACATATTTATGTTGATGTAATATTTTTTAATTACATTATATTTATTTATCTATTTGCAAATACATTTCATACACATTAGGACACAAAATACATGAGAGTAATTGTAGCTTCAGTGAATGATATTGTTATAAAAATTAATCTCGCAAGAACTGGTCTTGACTAATTATTACTTCCTTTTTTACTATATAGACAATACATAGTTTTTTTAAATTTTGTACTTTGTATTTTTTTTTTTGTGATTATATTATTAATATATATATATTGGTTGTATTATTTTATTATTATTTATTTTTTGACTCTTTTCTATGTATGGTCAACAAGTAACCTTGTTATGCTAAATCGGAAAGGACAATCATTGTGCTGAAGTCCTGACCGTGATAAAAAGAAAATCGCATTGCCATGCTGCCCAGAAGATTTTCTGTCACAATTATGTGAATTCCCAAAGATCTTTTTCAGCATGTCTTTCTTTACATACCTCTTGTACGACACATTTCATATTTACTATCCTCCTTTACTATACATCATTCGGTCGGTTACACGTGAATACTCGGTACTACATACCAAATGAGCAATGATCATCATATTCATGAACATTGCAATATAAATTGTTTTTGGACGTAATTAGACAGTCTGATGACCAACCCTTATTTTTGGGGAATAAATAAATCGGCCCATATATTTTAAAAAAATTTTCTTACAATAAATTTTATAATGTTCATAGTTAAAACTCCAAAAGAAGTTCCAACTTTAGGATCAAGTGTTGTAAAACTACAAAGCAATATTAAGAAACATATAAAGAGAGACATTGTGGGTTCAGGAGGTAATTATTTGAAACAAAAAAGACAAAAATGATGATGAATGTGGAAATTTGGACATATGGGAAATGTTGGCAAAACAGATCCTATGCAGCTGATAAAAAAATGTGGGATGATAATTTCTACTGAAAATGTTGAAGAGAGCAAAGAAATTAATGAATCAAAAAAAGGCATAGATTCAAAGGATGAACATGACATTGTTGCAAACAAAATCATGATAGAAGCTCAAAAAACAAAAACTAATTGATCATGATTTTGATTATGGGAAAAAGGAGTTTGATGAAGAACAAAATGAAGATGAAGAAATCAATTTGGAAACATGAACAACAAACTGTTGAAATTCCAGAGGGTTGAATTTTAGAATTGCCTGATGATATAGTGATGATGATGACTACTTAGATAATGGTGACCCAGAAAACAAAAAGAAGAAAAAGAAGAAAATTATGAAGATGAGAAAAAAAGATTTATCAGATAATATGAACATTGATGAACCTGAACTTGATAGACACTCAACAAAATCAAAAACAAGATAATGAATTAGTAACCATTGACACAGAAGAAATAATTTGAATAAAACGAATAAAACATGGACAAATAATTTGAAAAACTCTAAATTTTTGTGGTATCTATGAATATGTAAAAATAAAATAATTTACAACTGGTAATATGTATAATATTCAATCTTCATTCCAATTTTAATAAGAGATAGGGCCTTCGATATCATGGCATAAAAATTACAGACTATGTATGTATTTGGAAACAGGATCCTTCCAGCATCCCTACTTCGCAACACATTTACCAAACCAAGCTACAAGTTATTGTAAATTTTTTGTGAAGCCATTATGTATATTTTTTATAGTCAACGAATTTAGAATGTCTGAAACTTTTGGGTCAAATGTAAACCGAAAAACCGTGAGATTGAACCGTGTGGCGCAGTGTTTTGATGGCTTATTATATATTTCTATAAACAATTTTGTGTAAATATCTCTCTATCAACAATAACCATATTAATATGGAAACTTATATATAATTTTTGGATTTCAATAAAGAAAAAAAATATTTTTGTTGTATTCCAAATGAGTTTTTTTGTACAATTGGCATTTTTACAACCATTATAATATATACATAAAAAGACCGGAAAACCTATTGTGTGTGACCGTCAAATTAAATGACAAAACATATAATGCGAGTCTTAGTTTTTATAATTATGCGAATTGATTTTCCAAAAATATTTAATAATAATAATGCGAATCGAAACAGATTGAATTCACTAAAAATATTCAAAAGGAGGTTTTATGTACTTTGACATACTAAAATGATTATAAATTAAAATGTTTCATCGTCTATTGCAATCAAACAAGGGGTAAAAATGTATTCCAAAAAAAAAAAAATACTCGTCTCCTGTTGCCAAATTCTCGCATGAAAAATGCCATTGTGATATTGGAAGATAAAAATATATGATAAATGATCTAAAAATCTTATTATTACTCCCAGAATGTCTCTTAAAGTTTGCAACTTGATAATTGATTCACTTTTTTAGCACTGACAAATTCTTGAAAGTTAAGGTATGTAGTAAAATGTTGTTGGCGTGAATCATAAGGAATTATTTTACTATTTTTACTTATTAAATAGGCAACCCCGTTAATCCGAAAACCCGTTAAAATGAATAATTTTAAAACACCGAAGCCAAACATATGTAAATTACCCCGTTAATATGAATGTCACTGATAAAACTTTATAAACCATAAACCGAAGAAATTTTTAAATTTTTTGAAGCCATTTATATGTAAAATTGCCCTGTTAATCCGAATTTTTATAAACCTAAGTGAAATACAAATTGGGCCAATAATAATAATATACAAGTTATACAAATACATATGTACAAAAATTATCATGGAAATAGCAAATAATAACCAGGGTAGACTTTCCTCTGGTGCAAACAAGAGGAAAAAAAAATCTAAAAGAAAACATATGCCTATAACAATCTCACAAAAAAATAGAAATATGCATTGAAAAAATAAAGACCAAAACATAAAAAATAACAGCTAGGGTTTGTATTCATGAATATCGTAAGGGGTCACATACTATTAAATCAAGTGATCAACTCATGTTTTTAAGGATTTTTTTAGGGTTGAGTCGGTTCAGTTTGGTTTAAAACCGCGGTTCAACTGCGGTTTGTCGATCATATACTAAGATCTGATTGGTCAATTTTAATAACCGTTGTTGATCACATACTTTAAATATGAGTAGTTAATTTTAACAACGATTTTAATATAATATATATATACATGCAATAAAATTTAGACTGTAAATATTGTATGAATAGTTTTTATTTAGTTGATTTTTACATGATGATTTTTTGAATCATAAATATTGTGCGAAATTTCATTACTACTAGTAATACTATTTCCTTTAAAAGGAATGATCGATATGATTTAATAATTTCTTCTATGGAGATCTATTTTACTATTGATGGATCAAGACAAACTTCATTATATGCTTATATAGAGAGTTTATATTAAATTTCATTACATCAAGAGCAATTTGTATATAATGAAATTGGAATTTTTATAACTTCATTATATAGTACGATTCACTATATAATAGGTTCACTATATCCAGAGCCAACTGTAAACGGAATGTTATAAGTAAATGAAATAGACAGTTTGATCACTCAACTTCTCTTTCAAGATCGTTTAGATGCCAATGAATATGTTACGATCGACCAAAATCTTCTTGTTCAAGAAGAAATGTCAACACAAGAAATCGTAAATATTGTAAAAGGTCAAAGTGAAAGTTGGTGATGACAATGATGAAACAAATGAAGCTGAGCCAATGATAACTAATATAGAGGATATAAAAGCTCTGGAAACTGCACTTAGATGTGTACAGCAAAAAAATTTAGACATTGATTTTCAAGTAATTAGAAATGCCAAAAGATTAAAAAGTGAAATTTCTTTACGAAAATTTTCAAGAACAAGTGCAAACAAGGATGGAAGATTATTATAATGTCAACGTTCTAAATGAATGAATTGGTTTTTTTTTAATTTTTACCAACTGCATATTTTTATTATTATTTAACTCAAATTTATTTTTTAACGTAACATGATTTAATAAAAATTTGATATTTTTACGGATTCTCTGTTTAGATTAGTATTAGCGGATAAATTTCCTGAAACAAACATATCCGTTATACCAAGACTCACTGTGTACATACCCATTACAATCTTTATAATGATTATTCAACACATTTGATATTATTATTGGTATAACATATAATTGCATCACCTCTTTATAAGTCTCGAAGAAATATACAAACACCCCTAGGTCTTGCAACGATTAAGACCTGAATTTTCAATAACACTCCTAAATTTTATATTGAATTGGCCATGGATGCATAAATGCTGATCACAAGAAACGTTCAAACTGCTAATAGAATTGAAGAAATTATTTGGTTTACTAATATGGATAGCTCAGGTAACCCAGATAAGATCATTATCCCGAATAAGGCGTTAAACAATGGAAATTAATTAGAAAGAATTTCGTTTGATCCATCAACAACCATCAATAGTAATATATATGGTTTTTTTATCAATATTTTACACAAGAATTAATATAATTAATGTGGAAATAGTTTACCAAGATTTTTATTAGAATATAAAATTTTATGTTGAAATAATAATAAAAAATGTTCTTAGGTGAGATATCTCCAATTTGGATGATGATCAAACAATTCTTCGTTATATTTTTCTTCAAACTTTACATCTTTATTATCACTATTTTTTTGGAGTAAATCTTTTTTCTTATTGAGCCTGGTAAATATGAATTTTGCTGACAAGGCAATAGTCAGATGAAGACAAAGGAATGAAAATATTATGATATGACCACGTGAAATGTTATCTGCTCTATAAACTTGACCTGCTATGATCCCACCGGTTTCCCCTATTGTTCCGATAAATGCCATTCCAACTGCCCTTTTATATTGTCCGACTTTTTTGGAAAAAAAAAAACAAATCAATTAATAATAATGGCAACAACAATAATAAACTACTATACGAATAACAATTACCAATATTAGATGTCATCCAAGAAGCAAAAACTGCAAGATAAGAAATCAAGGCGGCAATCGTGATACATGCGGCTACATATCTTATCGCAATGTTTTCTTTGGTAGGGGCAATTGAAATTGTTACAATGAGACCTACGGCTGCAATTAAATCTGGTATCGCAATATGAAATACACGTTCATTATTTCGATTACTAAGCCAAGCATTAAAAGACAAGACAATGCTACCAACAATAAACGGTGGAGCTGAAAGTGCTTGAGCTCTGATTGAATCAAACCCCATTTCTTTTATAATTGTTGGAGTAAAAAGCAGAACTGAATTTAAAAGCACCGAATTAGCGAGTGTACCAATCGCAAATAGGTACATCTTAAAATCGGTGAAAACACTGAATATTTGTTTCTTTATTACATCATTTGGTAATTTACTTGGTGTAACCCGAATTTGCAGTCTTTCATAAGCGAGGGAAACTTCATCTTTTGTTAGAAATTTCGCATGATTTTGATCTTTAGGGATGACAAAATAAAATATTGCTGCCAAGATAAATGGAGGCAATGCTTCTATAATAAATATCCATTGCCATCCATGTAAACCATTTAATCCATCCATGTTATTCACAATAGCATAAGCCTAATAATAATGATTAAATATATTTATATGTAGTGTGTGTGTGTGTATATATATACAGTTTATATTATATAATATAATTACTTACTGTAAGGCTACCGAAAGCACCTGCAGTCATTGAGAAACTAAAAGCAATAGCAGCTCTTACACTAATTTCATTAGGAGTATACCAAACTGTATAATAATAAAATTGAATAGGCCCTGCAGCGCTTTCAAAAACACCCAGAAGAAATCTTAGAGCTTGAAGTTGGCTAGCGTTGGCAACGAATGCTTGTGATAAAGAACATGAAGCACAGCCAACCAATATTATTGGATACCAAATATTAATTCCTATTTTTTTATTCAAAAAGCCTGAAGGCATGTCGAATAGTATAGCTCCAATATAGAATAATGATAAAGCATTATTATAATCTGGTTCGCTGATACCACTGTTGGCAGTTAAACCTGCGATTTTGGCATTACCGATATTAGATTTTTCCAAATTATTAAAGAAATATGACAATGTGAATAAAGCTGTAAATAATTAGGATCATAATCGAGATTAGGATTAAGATTGGTGTGTGGTTTATTGAATAAGAAATCAATCAAAGAGAAAATATGTTTACGTATAATCCTCATGTCAAGTTTCCGTAACAATTGTTTTTCAATTGAACGATCAATTTTCTGATCTTCCAAGGAAGTAAGTGAAGGATCTTTGTTTAGATTATTATTTTCTCTCGCAACAATTGTTTTATCATCGCTTTCATCGGAATTTATAGACATTATTATACTTATTTATCTTGGAGTTTTTATTTGCATATAATTTTAAAGAAAGTTAAAGAGAAAGGATTTTTTCATCGCAA